CTGGCGGGGAGCCCTGGAGGCTCCAGGCGTCCCTACCCCACCGCGCGGAAGGTGAACCGCGCCGCGACCGCCCGCAGCGAGGGTGAGCTTCTGGGCACAAATGGAGGACCCAGATTTTTCAGTTTCCTCTGCGCTGTTGGAGGTGACTGATGGGAGTGACACGACAGAAATGTCCACGGGGTCACAGGTCTTCCAGGAGCCGCTTGTGCTCAGATTCCTCGACGTGCTCGACAAGCCGGAGGATACCGAGGAGGCCGAGTTGGCCAAGCAGTCCGAGGAGCCGGCGCTGTCCGAGGAGCCTGAGCAGTCTGAGGAGCCCGAGCAGTACGAAGAGCCTGAGCAGTCTGAGGAGTCCGAGCAGTCTGAGGAGCCCGAGCAGTCTGAGGAGCCCAGGGAGTCCGAGGCACAGGAGGAGTCTGAGGTACCTGGGGAATATGAGGTATCTGAGGAACCCGAAGAGCAAGGCGAGCAAGACGGGTCCGAAGAGTTGGAGGAGCTCAATAAGCCCCACAAGGCCCCTGAGTCCCACGAGGTCCACGAGCCCCACGAGACTCAGGAGCTCGGCGAAGCCGAACTGCTGCCCCGTGCAGTGACTATCTCCCCGTCCCTCGTGGTCAGGCCTCAGCCACCGGTTCTACTATCTTCCACGTTCGGTAGGTTTGAGGCCCCTCCCAGGCACTGAGCACCGCCCCATGTAGAACTGGGAATCCTGATGGTGAAAGGTTGCATCCAAGAGCTCGTTTTGTTGTAAAGAAAGATAACTCCTGTGTCATTTACCTGCTACTTTGCAGTCATTCTCTTTTGACCTAAGGTACAGTGATGGGAAACTGAGACCCTGGTAATGAAACAAACTGAATCTCTTTACTGGCTCCTGTCTCTAGCTGATGACCCCTAGTTGTCCTTGATGACCCTTTGTCACCTCCTTTTGAAACTCTTCATAATTCTACTCTACAGTTAGTCATTGCATCCCTTTGTGTTGCCACTTTGAACATCACCTCCATTACAATACTTATGCTTTTGTATTATATCATAATCTTTCTCTTCAAGGAAATGGAGGGCACATAGTCAGCACTCAATAAATATTAGCTGTCACATTGTTAAAGTTGTAGAAACAACACATTCACCGTACAAGTATTCAAAGAGTACATAAGTATGTAAGTGGTTATATGTGCAGTCCTTATAGAGTTCACAAAGTAATAGGGCTGGTGGAACTTGGGTGTAAGCTACATCACACTTGTTCATTTATGACCCTCACTTATGACCTTGTCCAAAACAATTCATCCACGTCGGGCCCCTAATGCCTTGACTGATCACTTTTTATCTCGTTCCCTCTGACTCCCGCTTTACTCAGCCTTGATTCTATGGTCTATCATTTCAGTTGCTCACTTAAAACATCTTCCATCACTCCATTGGCTCTTGGGCTGTCCACTATACTTCTCCTGGCAAAACTTCAACCCTGGTTAAACTTACCCATCTGTCTACTCCTGAGCAGCTGACTCTGGTTGTGCAAAATCACACAATATATTAATTGGTTTTATTTCAATTTCATGCCCACAAATCTCAGTTGTTCACTCAACACTGCCTAGCAAGCCCACTTTATTCCCCTAGTAAGTTAGTTTTCCCAATCTCTGAGATAATGGCTAAATACCTTTTCTACTGTCCTCCAACCTCTGCATTTTCCACCCTCATCCACCTGAAAACTTTATATGAGAAAATAGAAACAATCAGTCATGAACTCCCTTATGTTTGTACCACCAATCTATTCTTACCTGCATCTGTACACGTGCAATCTGCCTTTTTCATATTTCAGGGAAGAATTACGCCTCTTTTTATGAAAAGTAAAATCCTCTACTTGTTCTTTGGATTCCACTCCTGTCTCCTGAAGAACTTTGTTTCTACAGCACCAGTTTCTCCCTTTCTAATGAATCAGTGCCATGAGCTCTAGAATCTTCAATGTGGAAATAACCCTTGACTGCATGTCTTCTTCAGATATCTCCTCCCCCCACCTAAAATCAAAAACCAAACCCATTGCTGTCAAGTTGATTCCAACTCATAGCAACCCTGTAGGACAGAGTAGAACTGCCCCATAGAGTTTCCAAGGAGCGACTGGCAGATTCGAACTGCTGACCTTTTGGTTAGCAGCCAAGCTCATAACCACTGTGTCACCAGGGCTCCTCCACCCACAGTCACCACCATTTTCCTGTTCTCCTGCACTACATAACTTGTCATAAGAGTTGTCTATGTTCGCTGACTCCATTTCCTCACCTCTTATTCTCTCCTCAACTAACCCTGGTTAGGCTTCCTCCCCACCTTCCTTCCTTCCACCCGACTTCACTGAAACTGCTCTGCCTTACTGTCTTTCTGTACCTCCATCCTTGTCATCATGCATGGAGATTTCACTATCCTCATGGATGATCCACCTGGCTTTCTCAGTTCTTTGACCTCCTCACTTCGAATGATCTTGTCTTCTATCCCATATTCTGAATCCATTACCCTGGCCCTTTATAATATCGATTGCTGTACTATTTCCAGTATCATTGTCTTATGTCCTTCTGTCTCTCTTTACTCATCTTCTTGGCATGGACCACCAATGGAATCACTTCCTTGCAAATATCCTTAACCCACTTGCTTCTCTCTCTCTGTAATTTTTGCCTAATTAAGTCCAGCTCTTGCCTGCACTTGAAAAAACAGATAATGACAAGAAGAAAAGCAAACAACTATGCTGACTAATCTTTAAATTTATGACCTTCAACTTCAAGTGGGCTCTGAGTGCTGCTTTGCAATCATACTGTTTCCCCGGTCAATGCGTTCTCCAAATATCCCAGAAAACATGGTCATTGTTTTCGTTCCTCAAACCTCCTACATTCCTTCCTTCCCCCTCACTCTCATCTGATGGCTTTGATTTTTATTTCACTGAGAACAGAAGAAATCATAAAGATCTTCATATTTTAATCCCACTGAATCTACCAAGCTACCTATATCTATGCTTATATAATCTATCTTTTCTCCTGTTAATAATGAATGAACTGCCCTTGCTCCTAGTAAAGGCCATTCCCTCAGCCTGTATGTTGGATCCCAACCTATGTAACTTCTTCAAACTCTTTGATCCTAACATTAGCTCCTCTCTGTCCTGCATTATTGTATTCCCCCTCTCCCCTGTGTCGTTCCCATTAGGTTAACTTTTTCTTAAACAAATAAACAAACTCTCTCTCAACCCCACATAATCCTCCAGGTACCACTCCTATTTCTCTGCTCTTCTTTATAGAAAAATTCCTATAGTTGTCTATAAGTCGTTATCACTACTGCCTCTCTTCTCATTCTCTTGAGTTAAGCCTTCATCCCCTCCACTTAGCTAAAGTTGCTCTTATTGAGTTCACAATGACCTCTACCTTGCCACACTCCATGGTTATTTCTCAGTCCTTATCTTACTTATCGGACAATTTCACTTCCTCTTTGCTTGACTTCTGGGATACCACTACCTCCATTGTTATCCTACCTCATTGATTGTTCCTCACTCAGTTTCCTTTCCTGGATTCTTCTCTTCCCAGCCTCTAGGTTGAAGTGACTGATGGCTCAGTTCTCTCAGATTCTCATAGAACATTCCTTATTCCCTGAGTGATGTCATCAGTTCCATGGCTTTAACTATACGCTGGTCGTGGTGGTGGTGGTTAGTTGCCATCAAGTTGATTCCAACTCATGGCGACCACATGTGTGCAGAATAGAACTGTGCTCCCTAGAGTTTTCAAGGCTGTGATTTTTCAAAAGCAGATCATCAGGCCTGTTTTCCAAGGTGCCTCTGGGTGGGCTAATCTTTTGGCTAGTAGTCAAGCATTTAACTGTTTGAGCCATCCAGGCACTCCTTATATGCTGTAACTTCCCAAATTATCTCTATCCTCAACTTCTCCCTTGAACTCCAGAGTCTTAAAACCAATTGTGTACTTAACATCCGTATTTAAATATCAAGTAGGCATGTCAAATAGGGATGTCAAATTTAATGTGTCTGTAATTGAACTTTTAACTTGCACCCAAGCTTGCTCCTCCTCCATTGATCCCCATGTCAGTAAATGACACCACCATTCTTCCAGGTGTTCAGGTCAAAAACCCTGGAATCAGTTTTGACGCCTGTTTTTCTCTCAGACCTGCCTGCAAACCATTAGCAAATCCTAATTTCAAAATATATCTTGACTATGATGACCATTTCCCATTTCTTAACATCTAAATCTTCATCTTTGTAAGCCACTATCATCTCTTGCCTGGTCCACTGCAATAGCCTCCTCGTGGGCTGTTGCCTCCACTCTTGCACTCCTTCCCTGCTCCCTAGTTCATTGTTCATATAGTGGTCATAGGGATCCCTTAGAACATAAATGATGTGTTGCTGTCCTGCTCTCAACCCTCCAAAGGAAGTTCTCACTTCACTTAGTATAATCCAGAGTTCTTACCAGGCCTCCAAGGTCCCACATGATCTGCCCCCTGCCCGCCACCCCAACCTCATGTCCTACCACTCTCCGCTGCTCTCTGTTCTCCAGCCACATGGGCCTCCTTGCTCCCACCACAGGATCATTATACTTACTGTTTCCTCTGCCAGGGACATCCTCCCTCAAGTATTTGTCACCCCTCTTATAAAGGTGTCCCAGATTACTCTATCAAGAAGAACACTCTGTAGTTTGCTTATTTTATTTTTAAAGCACTTATCTAACTGACTGGATTATCTATCTATTTGTTTGCACTGATGTAAGCTCTCATGATAGGGAATTTTTCTTCTTCACTGTTTCATCCTCAGTGCTTGGATCAGTGCCTGGAATACATCAGGGCTTTCACAACAATAATTATTGTTGAATGAAGGATTTCTTCATTCAATCTCTATGTTACCAAATCCAGTGGTTCCTTCTCTATCCTTAGGATTATTAAGTAGTTTAAGTGAGCACAATAGCCAAAAGGTGAAAAGAGATGAAATGTCAATCAACAGATAAATGGATGAACAAAATGTGGTGTATATATATATATATGTATATATATATACAATGGGATATTACTGAGCCATGAAGAGAAATGAAGTTCTGATGCATGCCACAGCGTGGATGGACTTTGAAAACATTATGCTAAGCAAAATAAGTCAGTGGCAAAAGGACAAGTAGTGTATGATCTCACTTATATGAAATAAGCAAATATATAGAAACCAAAATTTAATAGTTATAGCAGGGGTGGTAGAGCCCTGGTGACAGAGTGGTTAAGAGCTCAGCTGCTAACCAAAAGGCCGGCAGTTCGAATCTAACAGCTGATCCTTGGAAACCCTATGGGGCAGTTCTACCCTGTCCTAAAGGGTCGCTATGTGATAGAAATAGACTCATCAGAAATGAGTTTGGGTTTTTATTTGGTTTAGCAGGTGTGGGGTGGGGGGAGGAAAAGGATAGAGAGAATGGTTGCACAACTTGAAGAATGTAATCAATGCCGCTGAATTATACATGTAAAACTTGTTGAATTGGTATATGTTTTGCTGTGTATATTTTCACCACCACAACATAAAAAATAATAATAAGGAAGTTTAAATGAGATAATAATGTATATAGCTCTTAGAACAGATTGTAGTATATGATAAGTGCTCAATAAATGCTAGCTATCATTATTAGTGAA